TAGCAGTTACATGGGAACAACATTCACTTTACAGATGGATACGAGATCAAGGAGGACATAGGAATTGGCTCCTATTCCGTGTGCAAGAGATGTGTTCATAAAGCTACAGAAACAGAGTTTGCAGTGAAGGTAAGAAAGCCTCCTGGTAGCTGCCAGAAATGTGGTTTGAGACTGCTCTGCCAGGCTGGGCAGCAATGTGGTCAGTGGATGTTTGTTGGCTTATTTCTTGTTGGTGGGTGTTGCTTGTTTTTATTTTTCTCTTTTGGAAGATGACAGGTTTCATGATAAGCCTTGTATTACTTCTCACACCTTAATCTCATCAAGTAAAATTCCTGGATGCAAACTAGATAAGATTTTTAACAGGTCCTACACTGAGTCACCATAAATATAAAAAATAACATATAAAATTATTGCAAAGTTGAAATAACATTTTATTCTTCTTTCTGAAGTTATTTAGTTCTGACTTTTTGATTGTAATTAGACAGATTCATCAGTGAAAACCATTGGTCATCTTCAAAAACTCAGATTTCGTTTTGTCTCCCTGACTTTCAACACCAACATGCTACACTAAGGAGCAAAAGGCAGTCTTCAGCAGAGATTTAAAATATTAATTCAGTGGAATTTAGTTGGATATTAAAGACAAGTCAGTGAACTTCAGGCTTGGTCAAGCAACACTACATAAAAGAGAGTGACCGCAGTGGCAGAGGCCAGGAAGCTGCTAGGGTGTAGGTCTGAAGGAACATCTTCTGATAGGGAAGAACTTCAGTAGACCTGCTTTGGAAGGTCATGCTCAGAAAGCTAAATCACAATCTCTATTAAATGCTATTGAATAAACAGTATGCAGCTGTTACAGAGGGCAGAACAAACCAGTGTATGTGGCAAGTGGTTGTGAGGTTACAGCTCGGAAGAAGAGTTGCAAATATTAAGTTTCTTTAAGAAAAAGTCATAGCAATTAAAAGACTCGTATGTTAGAAAAAGTATTTCATGTATTTGTTCTTGTAACAAAAAGAGACAAGATTGGATGAAATGAGGAATTAGTGTAATGAATTTGAAAAGACACGGACTGTTAAGTCAGATCCTTTCATTCTGTATGATCTCATGGGAACAGATTACTTAAATGAGCATAAGACAAAAAGTAGCTTCTTCAACTCGGTACATAGGGAACTGTATTTACAAAACGGGCAGTAAATGAGGGATTCTAGCCAATTGCCACTCTACTTTTCTTATTTTAAAATTTTAGAAAAGATATGTAAACTTAGCTTATAAATGAGATTGTGTCTTTGCTCTTAAATGATATGATGGGAGCTTAAAGAAGTGATCCAAACTGCAGTCCATGAGATAAATGAGCTGCAGGTAGTCAATAGAATAATATTAAACCTTTTATTTAGACTTATTTTCCATCACGAGACTGATGATAATGCAGTACCCATGAAAGTTTTGATGTCTCCCCATAGTGGCCACCAAAATCTGGAAACCACTAATAAGTGACAATCTGTTGATGTCACTGTTCAAATAACCATTGATTGTTCTAGGCTACGCCATAATAGGAGCATGGACTTACCGGCAGGTCTGTGGGCTTGTGCATGAACATGCTAGGATTTTCATTTCTAATGAATGGAAAAATTAGAGTTTTCTAGTGTCCCGGACATTTGTCAACAGATGGCATTATGTTATAGTAGGTATGGCTTCTGTGTAATTAAATTACATCTATGATAAACAAAAGGTATGTTAAAGTAATAACTTTAATATTAAATTTATATCAAGTATGGCTGACAGTTTTATCAGTGTAATATAGCCAGTGTGAAGCCAAAATAGAGATACCTCGGTCCTCAAAGATGTGTGAATACCTGAATCCAAGAGGGTCCAGCACCTACTCAACAGCTGGGGGTTCGGCCAACCTCAGGGGGTCCAGAGCAAACTCAACATGTGGAGACACTCAAAACTCCAGAAGAGTTTAACACTTTGATTGCTAGGTTTATGCTCTTTCCCATTTTTATTAATCTTTCCTCTTTTTATTCCTTTCTTCCTCCACTTCTTACGACCGTCTTTTTGTCATGCCGATATGTCTTGATTTTGACTACCAGTTTAGGCAACACGTGCGACATCTCAGTTTTTGACACAGCGTGAGTCAAATGTGTAGCACAGACTTGGGGATTGGAGACAGTTGGTGGGTTTCTGTTTGTACTGTCTTTCCAGCACATTGAGTGCTGCCTCTTTGATTATTATTCCTAGCAATACATTAATTTTACTTTTCTTTCAATTTTATTTTTATTTCATATTAAGATTATATCATTTTGTTATCGAAGTGGCTCGCTTTCATAAAGATTGCACAATGCCACCCATTTCAAGTAATTAGATAGCACAGGAGTTGCAACTGATATTATCATAATTATATATCTGTCCCTTTTGACATGCATCCTTTAACTCTCTCTATAAAAATCACTGTAATTAGACTCTTTTGATTTCTTTCAGTAAGTATAATTTTCTCAGTGCTCCCTAATACATAACATTCACAGGAAAAAATATCTGCAATGATGGTCTGTATGATAGGGAGCAGCCTCATTTGCCTGGCACCACATTAAAAACTCCCTCTTTAAGATGAACTGCTGAGACGTCAGAGAGCATCATCCCGCCTCCCCAGGGGAAGCTGGTGTTAGAGAAGGAGTTAAGGCAATGACGTGGTGGCATCGCCACGGGAAGACGCACATCATGTCACTGGGTAAATAATCCCTCCGTGGAGACTGCCACTCACCAGACCTTATTGACTCTTGCTGTACAGGACCATACTGAGACAGCAGAGTACCGAGCCGGAGTGACTTGAGTCAGAGCTACAGATGGAAAATCCACCCAGAAAAACAAAACCCTTCCCAGCCCAGAAGCAGAATATGTTTATTAAAATGCAAAACATTTCATCCCTTTTCCTTTTGCTGGCCACCTGCAACTAATTGGGGGCCATCTTATAGAGATAATTAGATGTCTAGCAGTGCAAAGAAGTTATTTGCTGGTGGTGTAAAAGCACTTGAACAGATCTGGAACTTCAGAGTTCAGTGAGACTGGGCACGTCACTCGCTGAGGGGCTTTGGGAAGTGCCCCCGGACACCGCTCTGCACCCGCAGGCATCTGACTGCCTTTGTCAATCCGATTGCTGAACCTGCAGAGGAAGAGAATTTTCTTGCAACCTAGTCCCTCTTCCTCCATGTCATCTATAAAAACGAAATGCTAATAATAAACTCGACATCTATTTTAGATGTGCCCTCAGGCTCCTAAATGCAATATTTAAGAATTCAGACTTAAATCTCCACTTCTGAGAGCATTTCAACACCATGCAATAGAAAACCTTGTAGACAGCCAGATTTCCTGCAAACCGAGTCTACCTTGAAGCTAGTAGCCACCTGTCTGGGCCAGTGCACGTAGAGGTTGGTTTAGCAAGTCTTTGTATCATATTCTGCTGCATGTACATACTCTGAGGTACTTTTAAAATTTTACTCTTAGACTTTCTTTCCATCTCATTCCCAAGTGAAAAAAGTATAAAGTTATGAAATACAGAAGTATATGAAATATGAAAGTATGTTCTTCATTCTTCCGAATGCTCTGTAAGACTCTGGTAGAAAGAAGAGAGATGGGGAAAAAAAAGAGTGTTGCTCCTTTGATGGACCTCTAACGTGTTTCATATTCTTCTGCTAGAATATTGATCATCCTGACTCCAGCAGGCATAATGATTTGTAATAGCAAAGGGAACTGGCATTGTCAATCACAGTTACAGGCTTCACAGGGGTATAAATATAACAATGAGGTCAGAAGCAAAGGAAAATCAGATCAAACTATTTCAATATCTAGAGAAAATAAGTCAATTAAGTAAAAGAATGATGCTAGAGCAGGTGGGAGGGATTTCTGTGGATGGAAGAAAGTCTGCAACAGAAGCCTAAACAGATTAAGAGCTCTCATTTGGAAAACAAAGGAAATGCTACAGTTCAGAGTTCTTGGTGAATCACATTTTTCAAAACCTGCCAGAGATGTGATGCAATTAGCATATTCCAAAAGTTTTTCTTGACTTAAAACCACTGTACTAGTTTCAAGCTTGGATCCCTACTTATAGTGAAGCTTTCAAGCTGGATTTTCAGATGTGGTTCTTACTGATGCCAGATTAAGTAAGTTTGCAAAGGACCTGATTGCATCCCCTTTTTTTTTTCCTAAAGATTTCTCTATTTAGATTGACTCCTTAACCCCAGGAGAGATTACTGATGGATAACAGCCAAGTAGAAACTGCTGCTGCTATGGCCTGTTCTACCTCCAACATGGTAACTGCCCCAAATGTTGCAGAGGTGGGTGGCAGAGGTGCCAGCTTCAACAGCTTGATGCCAGCTGTTTTCTTCTCCAGGTCAAAAGAATATCTAACTGGTTAAGTCTTACGGATTTTCAGTCCTTCCGTGCTGCTAGAGCCAGGGTGAACAACTGGGTGAAAGGACAGGGTATACATTTCTCCCTCCCTTGAAGAAGAAAAACATACAGTAGAGAATAGTCCCAGATGACAAGTCCAGTTTTGCTGATGCCAATATTACAGTGGAATTTGGATCTCGAAACACATGTGAATTTCACGACTTTTTCCTATCTCTGTAATGTACTAACCAACTATTTGACTCCAGATGTTCCACAGCTGTGAGCAAAGCCAAATTTTGCAGTCTGTGTCTGCCTCTGGGACACAGGTTAGTTTATGCTAGAGTCCTAGTAAATCCTACAGTTCATATGTAGTTCTGGTAGTTACGAAGCACTGAAAGTACATCTATCTCGGCATGTTTTGGCATGTGCAGACTGAGGAGAAGGTGCATTTTAATTAGTTATAAAAATGCAATGCCAGCAGAGAAGCAATGTCAAGATGCTATCAATAAATAGAAGTCAGTAAGTCGTGAGAGCTGCTTTTAACAGGCCTGTGTAATCAGACTTGCTATATACCTCTATTTGCTACTAACAGTGAGTGACGTAGTCACCAAAAGCTGTATGAATTCCAGAGTTGTTTCATAATGTCTTTAAACTCCATTTTCCTCTTCCATTGATGTTTATGGTCTTGGTTGGGTTGGTTTTAGGTGGTTGGTGTAAGTAGGTACAACATCATGCTAATCTGAAGGCAGGAG